TTGCAATTTTGTCTATTCATTTTTCAAGCTTGCTTATTAAGACCTAAAAAAATAATAAATAAGTTGAATTAAAATCCAATTTCAAAGTATGCAAATGTGTTTTATATGAAAGGTTGTGAGGTGTACATATGTTCTTTCTTACTCTTAATCAAACCCCTAAATCTTGATCTTTGTGTAGACATGTTTTAAGTAACTTGTCTCACCTTATAATTTGGATGAGTAGGTAAACTCTATTTTCATACTTTTTACACTTAATTTTTCATCATTTTTCATAATTTTGAAATTTTAAATGATTGTCAACAGTTATAAAAGGGGAAGACTTATGCTTCTATTCCATCATTATCTGTTCGGAGCTAAATTAACAAGGCTTTACATATTTTGGTAAGTTTTTCCCTATTGCATTATTTTACATCATGATTCAACATTTCTACAAAAAGAACTATACTTGTTAATCATAAGCTCTAGCATAGGCTCAAAAGCAATTTTGAGATTTCAAAAACTTTGATTATTATTGGAGTAGTGGCATCAAAGCTGTGATGTTGTTACCACAAAACAGCAAAATGGTGCAGCAAAAAGCTACATTTATGGGGCAAAATGTGTAGCAATAAAGCTGCTTTCAATGGAGGAAAGAAAATGCAGCAAATTGATGCATTATGGAAGGAAATGAAATGCAAATGCAAATGGAGGCTACAAATTAATCAACAAAATTGCAACATTAATGTGATAGTTTTCAATGTACTTTTTTATGTTAGTTTATGCATTGCAATCCTTGATTTAAATGTTAGGATAGATTTTGTAGAAAATATATAACCATAGGGAAGGTAGGTGAAAAATACTATTTTTATGTTGAATTTTCTGCTATAAATGGGCAAACATGTTAATGGAAATATGAGAGAGTTGGAAAGCAAATTCTCCTTCCTTTTTGGGTTGGGTGAATGTCTGCACCCTTCCTTGGTTATGTAAAATTCATGTTCCAAGTTCTGCTCTTCTTACTCTCCTCCAAGTCCTCTCTCAACCCTTTCTTCTTACCTCAAATATCTAACAATTATGAGTTAAATTAAGTTTTAAACCTTTTGCTCTATATAGCTAACCAAACTAACTTATTAATTTCCCATGCAAAAATTAAGTTTTTCTAATTTGCTTCTTTTCCTTTACTAAAAGGTAAAAGAGATGTTGGAGATTAGATTGGATCAACAATTGCTGTATAAAGTTGCACGAGGCAATATTAACCGTGAACACTTGGAAAAAGAATTGGAAAATGTCCAAGACCCAATTGGACGTCCATTACTGGACATTGTTGATCAATTGAGCCCCGGTGGGAACTCACTCCTTCATGCAGCTGCACGCTCTGGTAGAAAAGACATAACTGAATATCTGGCTGAAAAGTTTCCCCACCTAATTTTTCGGACAAATTATGCTGGTGATACCGTACTTCATTCTGCTGCTAAAGCTGGAAAGGTAGAGACGATTGAAGTTCTTCTCCAATTTTATACTAATCCCACATCAAGCTTGACAGACGGTGTTCCCCTGTTGAGGATGAAGAACCTAGAAGGAAACACCGCTCTGCACGAGGTTGTGATCCAGTACAACTTTGCTGCCAACTATGACAAAAGGGAGAGTTACTGTGCTGTCATAGCAAGGATGGTTTCTATAGACCCTCAACTAGCCTATATTGCTAACAAAGAGGGAAAATCTCCCTTATACTTGGTTGTTGAAACCACCGATTTGAAGATTGTTCAGTGTCTCTTGGAATATCCTCTGCCTGTAGCTGCGGATTGCCAACAACTACCCGAAGGAAAGTCTCCCGTGCATGCTGCCATTAAGTTGAAGTTAAAAAATAATGGTAAACTACACATCTTTTATTTGCTGGCTTCTGTGTTTTAAATAAATTATTCTTTCACAAATTTAAAATTCTGTTTAAGAAAAAAATTGGAACTTAGAAGTGTCATAAGAGAGTTAGGACCACTAAACGGCCCCAATAAATAAAAATTGACTTCTATACTAGAAGATACAAATTTGCTTTTAATAAATCTACTTTTGGCTTGTCATTTTTTTTTTTGTACATATATAAAATGATATGACTAACTTTTACAAATAATATTTAACGCCGTGCACAGTTTTGTGATGCTTTTTATTTTATCACATAAGAATGTTCACGTAGCATTTTCCTAAATGTTACCATTTATTTCAGATATGTTGAGTGAAATGCTACATAGAAGGCCAAAGTTAATAGACTCAACAAATGGGAACGGGCGAAAAGCGCTGCATTGTGCGGCATCCATAGGTAACATCGAAGCAATAAAGTTCCTGTTACAAAATTATCCTCAAACAATTAACGAAAGGGACAATGACGGTCACTATGCTCTTCACGTTGCCTGTGAAAGCGGTTATGTCAAAGCATTTAACAAATTATTCAACCAGTGGCCAGATACATCAGAATACCTTAACAACAAATGCCAAAATGTTCTGCACATTGCGGCCAAGAACGGTAGAGACTATATGGTGAGGCACATAGTTGAAGATAAAAAAAATGGGCCTCAACTTGTAAATGCCAAAGACATTGAGGGAAATACACCCTTGCACTTGGCAGCCATGCATGGTCATTCTTTAGTTGTGGGTACTCTGCTATTGACTGGGAAATGTGACTCCCAAATTTTGAATCAAGAAGGCTTCACAGCCTATGAAGTCGCTAAGCAGCGAGCTGGAGACCCAATGGACTCTGAAACACAAATGGTATCTTATTAATTAGTTTTTATTTTTATGTTTTTGGGTTAAGCATCTGTTTATTTTGTTTAAAAGCAAACCATCTACGTAGAGACCATAGGAAATTTATGAAAAGTTAATTTTCCTAAGTGCAAAAATCAAACCACATAGGGTGGGTTTGGAATTTGATGATGTTTCAAATATCACCATCGATTTACACTTTATGCAATTGACATATAAAATCCATTTTTAATTTAGGATTTGTTGTGATGTTTATTTTATAGTACTATATGTATTTTTGGTAATATCTTATATGTGTACTTATTGAATGCTATCTTTTTTAATATATATAGGGGCAACAAAATATGCAGAGCAATGAGCAGGGCAATGTGCAAACCAAAGGGCAAACAAATGTGCAGCGTGAAGATGTCTCTTCAAAGAATACAAAACGACCAGATTCAACTGACTCGGTAAGATTAGTTAATTATGAGAAAGTTCTTTGTTCAAAAGATGATTATTTCATGATAAAATGTCAATGAAATAACTATCTTATGAAACCAAATATGACCTTATATTATGGTTGATCATCAGAGTGCATGGTGGTAAATAAAAGCATATATATCATAAATCTCACATGATTCTTTACAGGTCAAATTTCTTAAGAAAACGTGTTCATTGTTGCACATACAGATGATGGCATTGTCTATACTGTTTTTATTTCAACTATTCAAAATCTTATGTGGTCATCATCAGCAACATCGGATGAGAAGGTTGCGTCATGAAATCAAAATAAAGAGAGCAAATAAGGAGGATATCAAGGACAGAATCAATGCTCTCATTGTGGTTGCAACACTTATTGCTGGTATAGCCTTTCAAGCTGCTGTTCAAATGCCTGAACATGGCGATGATAAGGGTAAAAGCTCTAAAACCAATAATGAACTCTTAACTCCAGCCCCAGCCCCAGCCCCAGCCCCAGCCCCAGCCCTAGCCCTAACCACATTCCCTCCACCCACTAGGCTTAAAGATTTCATTGCTGATCAATTAGACTTATTATACTCACAAATATTCACCTTCTTCGTCTCTCTATCTATGAACCTATCCATTCTCGCTGCCATCACCTTATGTTGGGTCCAACTTCTTGATGTCAATTTTTCTGCTTTCTTCATCTGGCAAGCATCAGTTTTGGTAGGGATATCCCTGTACTCCATTTGCATTGCTTTCGGGTTCACTATGTTGATAAGAATTAAGGAATATGGTCTTAATTACACCACTGTCATGATTATCTTGGAATCCTTGTTTATTCCTGTGCTGACAATGTTCACAAGTCCGTTATTCATCCCTTTTGGACTCAAGTATCTGTTTGTCCGAGGTCTCTATATCGCTTTCTTCATTGGTTACTTCATTGTTCACAGACTCTTTGATTGTTGTCTCTACCGATTACAGAAAGCCTAGCATAGTACTCCATATCACTTCCACAAGTTATATATGAAAAATATATGTTGTCAATAAATAATGATTTTTTTGGCCAAACTACATGTGAGAATGCTGCATTGTTGATATGGCGGGAACACTTATTCCTCTTGAAAGAGATGAAGTAGAAGCTCCACTGCACGGATATACTTCGTTGTGGTGGAAAAGTAGATGCCTCACTTTCTAGAGGTTTGATTTTGTGGTTTTAGAGTTCTTATAAGATATTCTTGTGATTTTTCTTTCTATAACATTGGTGTTCAAACCTTGGTTCCATCAATCTCATAGGATGTAGTTGTGCTTGGTGTATTGCTCTATGATGGTGTGTTAGTTTTTTCTTGCTATAAGATGTGCTTAATTGTTATGTTGAATGGCTGTTGAATTGTAGAGGTTTTGAGTTGGTCTTAGTTTGGTTTTCAAAGTAGACGGTGATGTTGTTCCATGAAATTTTCTTATATTTGTGAGTAGCATTCTCATTGATGTGGCTAGATTTTTGGGGCCACTCTTTTCATTTCTTTGGCAAAAACCTAAACTCTCAATGCATCAATGTATGGGATTACTCAACTAAAAATGCAAAGAGCACTTAGGGCTGTTTGGTGCAGTTTGTTGGAGTTTTTGCTTTTTTTGTACTGTTCATGAGTGATAAATTTAAATTTTTATTAAAGGGAAAATTTAAAAGTTGCTTTTAGAGATAGTAAAAAGTGAGTAAAAAGAAAGTTTATGAAAAGTTTGAATTTAAAGCTTTTAATATTTTACTATTTAGGGTTTTTTTAAGGTTAGAAAATATTAAAAAATGTAAGTTTTTAAGAAGGAAATTTAAACTTATGAAATATGAATAGTGTCAAAAAGTTAAAACATTTGGGAAACTGCACCAAACGGACCCTTAATTAGCACGAGGCACTAAACAATAACATAACAAATGGGATATTGCTCCTATAATGAAGTTTTACCTTCATTTAACTTGTGCTTTTCTTAAATTTGTATTCAATATTTTTTTTTTTTTGCAAAGATTGATACATGTTTTGCTTAAATATACTTTACAATATACTTATTAAAAATTTTTTTAAAAAAATTTGAATTGAAGGCAAAAAAATTTTTAATTACAAAATTTAATAGTTGAATCAGTAAGTATTACTAAATACGTTAAATGGAAGAATATACCAATTATTTTTTTATTTTTTATAGGAAAATTATTGGTATATTTTTAGTTTGACGCACCTTTCAATATCTACTTAGTTTAGTTATTAAGATATAATATAAGTAAAGGTAATTCAACTTATTTTTATATTTTATATGTATGGTTACATTTTTAAGTTTTATTTATCTGTAATTTTAAACCAAAAAGTAATAAATTTTAATGAATGTGTTATATC